AAAGGACTCCCTGCTGCCACCACCGCTGGACGCCGTGGTGGCCGCCGACCCCACGGCCAACCTTCCCGGGGCGCAGGGCCAGCTGTGGGACCCGCAGGCCCCCGGCCCTCCCTCCCCTGCCTGCTTCCAGGCCGGTCAGCCCTCCGCTGTGTGCGTCCATGGGCCCCCGACCGAGCTGAGGCCACACAAAGGGGGCACCGGTGCCTGGCGTCCACTGGGGACGGAGCTGGAGTCGCTCAGGCGCTCCCGCATGACCCGCCCGGGCAGTGCCAGCCCAGCCTCTCAGGCTGGCAGCTGCTGGGTCACAAGCTATTCTTGGACCGTCTTCTGGGCACATTGTTTTGACTGGCAGCAGAGTTTCTGGTTCCCCTGAGCGGTTCAGCCCAGAAACACAGACTCTGGCGTCTCCGGCTCGCGGGGCACTTGAGAGATAAGGGAACTGGGCAGTCGGCCCACAGCTGGTGACTCTATGAGAGGGGGGGAGGGGGGAGGACGGGACAGCCGGGTGGCAGACGAGGCATCGGTTAAATCCTGGCTCCCCCGGGCCTCACTCTCTTCATCTGAGAAATGGGGCTACTCGTCCCGGCTCTGAATCATCTCTGACCGGGGAAGACACTCTCGTTCAAGTGCTCTAAGCGGTGAATCCCCTTCAAACCTCCACGGGAGTGACTGTTTACTGGGTGGGTGGAGGAAACTGGTCGAGGGCATGAAGCTGAGCTGCTGCAAAGCAGCCGTGCGCTGAAGTCAACAAGCTGTGTGACTGACACTCTGCAAAAGCCAGGACCAAGGGACCAGACAGACCCGACAGGCACCAGGAGTGAAGGCTGGAGAGGGCCCCAGACGTGGAACCATCTTAAGAACCGCCACTCCCTGCCCCGGCCGGCAGGGGAGACCCGTCCCTGCCCCAGGCTCCGGGCCCCCGGGCCACACTGACGCAGCTCCCGGTCGGCAGCCAACATGGACAAAGGCCACCAGTGTCCTGCCCGGGTTGGTCAAAAGCCTTTTGTGCCAGTTTGATTTTCTAGTTACCCCCTAGACGTGCAGGACGGCCTGGGACTGGCCACCTGCACTCCATGGATGGGAGATTCTGATTTCTCTCCCCCTCCCTCTTTGTCAGTCTCTATATATCACTGTTTTTTCTGTCTCTGGCACCCCGATTCTAGGCTCGGAGCCCCAGGCCTTGCTGAACAACCAGAGGCCAGGCCCTTCGGGGGAAGGGTTCTGAAAATGGGGCCCCAGGGTCCTTTCTGGAACAACCTGGAGAAGAAGACCGGACGCCACAGCCGCTCTGGGTGTCGGCAGAAACACAGGTGCGGGGGGGAGCGAATCCTGATAACTTCCCTCTGGATCTGACAAGTCTGGGATTTGCAAAAGCCAACTCTTAATTACCTGTTTCGGAGGAGGGGGCTGGAGTGGAAACCTAAGGAGTGGGAACAACAGAAGGTTTTCTTAGAATTACGCCTGACTTAGAGCCGAGGCGCTGGACGCACTGTAAACGAAAATGCTAGAAAGGTCTGGTTTTTGAAGGTCTGGGCACGAACCAACCGAAGGCAGCAGACGCTGGTCGCCTGGCCTCACCTCTCAGCCCAGGGAGGGGCTCTGCGCGCTCAGGAAACTCTCTCAGCTTCCCCCGGGTTTAACCCAAAGCACAAGACCGACTCTGCGCATCCTCACGTGGGATGGCAGACAGATCCGAGCTGCCGCACACTCAGTCCCGTTTCGTACCAACCACTGCCCAAGAGACCTGAGCGAGGGTAATAAGCGTTGGCACCAAGGGCTCCATCTCCCCCAGGATGAGCTGCAGTGGGTGCCAGTTACTCCGTCCACCCGGCCCCTCCCTCCCTAACTTCAGTCTGTGGGACCTGGGGAGGTAAAGCTGCTCTAAACCAGGGGAGCTAATGAGATGCATACCAGGCGATGGATGCACCGCCCTGCGATTGGCTTAGGGCTGGTCATGTGAGCCGGCCACAGCCAATGAGACTCGGTTCTCATTTGGGGGGAAGAATCTTTCTTCCCAGGGGGGTTTCAGAGGCGGGTGCAGGGAGAGCGCCCGACCCCCAGGAAGGAAAACCAAGTCACCCGGAGAGGCACAAGGCAGAGCCCTGAAAACCGGGGCTGGATCCAGCTGAGCCTGAAGCCAGATCGACCTGGGAAATTTTGGTTTCTTTTTAAAAAGCCACTGGGAGTTTGAGTTTCAATCGCCAACAAGCGATGACCAACACGGGGCCGAAATGGTGCTGGGATACGGTGGGAGCAGTTTGAACCTTTCTGGTTCCGGGAAACACCTATTCCTGATCAGAACTGGAAAGCACGCCCCCCACGCGCCCCCAATCCAGCAGAGATCGGGGACCAAGTGAATAAGCAGCCTGGGCTGGCAGGACGGGCTGGGAAAGGAGCCAGGCCTTGCCCCGCACTCTCCAGGGGCGGCAGCCTCACCTGTGGCCGTCGGGCCCGCGCTGGATCAGGCGCCCTCCCAAGTGCAGCGGTCTGGCCGTTACAAGGCCGCACGCGTGTTTCATTCCCCGTCCCGTCCACCAGCCCCGAGCACTGACTCAACTCACAGGCTGGGAACTAGCCGAGAATTTCCAAACGTAACTGGAATTAAAGGTGGAGGCATCCAAGGAACACCCCGATTCCTCTCCCCAAGCGCTCCCGGTGGCTTCCCAGCCCACGCCACTGGCTTCCACAAAGCTTTCGCCGGGGCTTGGGGGAAAGCACCAAGGCCTCTTCTGTACCAAACCTGGGGTACGGCTGGAAGGCAGAGAGCCAGGGAGGCGACAGTGACAGCGAGCCGGGCTCTCCTGCAAAGAGCTTAAACCGTGGGCTCTGGGGCGAGGCTGCCCAGCTTCCAGCCCTGGCTCTGTCTCTTACTCGCTGTTTGACCTTAGGCAGGGGGTTGGCCTCAGTGCCTCCATTTCCTTACCTCTAAAATGGGACTGACCGTGCCGCCCCCTCGCTGGGCTCTGGGGAGGACCCAGCGAGACCATTTGCGGGAACAGGGCCGGGCACACAGTAGGCTCTTAGTAGACATTAGCTAACTAGACCAGAGCTTCTAACCCTTTATCTAAGGGCTGCAGGAGGTCAATGAACCTAAAATTGTTTGCAAAACTGTACATGTTTTTTCTCTCATCACAATCCCGAAGAGGCACTTTGATGCCAAAAACCACTGAAGCAGCTTTCAGTCTAGTTGAGGGCAAGGCCTGGACGGCTCCTCCTTGTGTGTTTCCCACTGCACCCCGGGCCTGACTCCACATATCGTGCACCAGTAAATACTCAATAGAGAGACAGAGGGACAGGTGGACGAGTCACCCAAGGAATGCAGAGAAGGGTGGACCCGGGGCCACTCTGGACCTCTCGGAGCTGGGGTTCCAAGCCTTTAAGCGGCACGAACCTCCCTCCCAGCCTTATCAGCTGTCCTCAAGGACACACCCCACCGGATCCACTCAAGCAACCCCCGAAACACAGCCACAGGCCGCCTTCCCGCCCCCCTGTGGCCTTCCCCTG